TGGGAAGGATGTCCCTTTGAAAGTCCCTCCGCTGCCTTCCTCTCCTCGCCTAGCCCCTTCGGGACCTACTTGGTAATAAAGTAGCTCCCATTTCTTCGACTTTTAGGACTTCAGGAACAAGTGGCTTAGGCATGTAGTCTTTTTCCTTGGTCTCCGTGAGTTGCAATGCCATGGCCTCAAAATTGTCCATCTCCATGGGAAGACCTTGAATAGGTGCATCATCTTTTCCTTTCAATTCACTTGCACATGACGACAACATCGACGAACAAGAGGATTGATTCTGCCAAAGAAGCTTCTGACAGGTAACAAATTGTATACTCACTACGAATTTGCTGGCAAGATGATGAGATGGCAAATATTGTTTTTCCTGCATTCCTGACAACTTAATCCTGTACCTGCTCGACTTTATTTTGAGTACATTACAAAGATGCGTGCTAGGTATAATATCATCCTCCATCTCATGACGAATCGGGGCTTCTAAATCTATCTTTATTACGATCTTCACATTGGCGCTGTTGCTTGCAACAAAGGGTGCAAATGGATCTTCATCGTCGGTAATACAAGTGTTCAAATCAATTTGACTCCTGATAATGGTACCCATCGAATGCTGTTTGTTCTCTACAATCAGTTCTTCAGCATCTATCTGCTCCTCGGATTCAAAAGCGAGATTAATATCAATTAATATATTTTTCTTTTCATTTTTTTACATTATTTCCTTCAGAAGGGCAATCAAGAGTCACTAAGGTAGAAACAAGTGGTGATGACTCATGCTTTGGGGTATTGAGGATTTCAAAAATCGGAAACCCGAGAATTTTCTGACCATTCTCACTCTTGCCTATCTCCTCCTTAGCCCCGATCACACAATCATCTGAAGCCAGAGAGATATTTGGAGTGAACACTTGATTAAGATCTCTTACTGTTTCACTCCTAAAACAAAATGGATCAGAAGAAGCTTGAAGGGAACCCAAGATTTCAGTGTGTACCGACTTCCTAGCTTTGGCAGCCTCCTTTTTGTCAACTGGTTTGCATCCAAGCCAAGGAAACACCGACAACTGGTCTTTGGCAAGACTATTTCTATCCACCATATTAAAATATTTCTGAGAAACAGCTTCATTTGGAGAACTTTGTGTCGTTACCCCATTCAAGTTCAAATGATTGTCACCATTAAGGAACTTCTCAAATCCAGGATTTACCAAGCATTCAGATGCAACATTATCACCCCTACCACACTTGAGAAAATCAAAGCCGGATGAAGGTAAATGAACTGGTTCTTTGGATCTTGAGACAGACCCATGATAGAACCCATTACAGATTGCCAAATCACTTTCTGAGCCTGGATTCAACGGAAAACTACCATTCCACTTGTCTCCAAAAGATTCCTTGACTCTGAGCAGATGCCTGAATACTCCTACTCAATGTGGTTATCTTTTGACCAAGGCTACTTGTTGGCTTTGCCCAAGATGGGACGGAGCGAGACAGTGAATTGGCAAAATCGGAATAAACGAATGGGTATGTACCGGGGATATGAGAAGCCACAGCAGGATCCAAATGGCTGTAATTGGAGTAACTGCTATTCCTATTTGAGGATTCTAAACCATGGTCCGGCCCATTTCACCATATACCTTCCCACTCTGTCCAGCTGAATATATTCTAGGAGGATGAAGAGCCCAGTTAAGCAGGACTTCTGCAAGATGAGAAGGTCTAGTAACCTTATCTTTTTGAAAACTTCGAGTTACCAAATTTGAGTTGCCTTTACTGGGCCCTGTAAAAGGTTGAGATGTTCAAAATTGTCAGCATGCAGGAAAAGTTCATGGTAAATAAAGACTAGTTCAATAGTCATTCAAGATTACTCTCTCTCAAGAAAGTAGGGAATAAAACAAGATTTCAACGGAGAGAATCAAATTTACACATGAGCATGTTGAAAAATACTATGGATTTTGAATAGATGTCTATGATGAAATTCCAAGAAAAGTTAGGTGTGGGTAATATTCCTTTGAAATTGATATCTGATCCATCAAGTTCTTCAGTTCCCCTTACTTGTATGCTAATGCTAAAAGGCAATATCACCTGAATAAACACAAGCATAGGATTTAATGGACATAATCTCATAGCAGAAATAGAAAGATAGTAAAGACGATGAAGCACTTGGATATTATAGAAATTTTAAAATCTCTTTACCTGCTTCATTTATATGGGAGAGCCACCCCCTTTCACTGACTTTGCTATCACGAAACAAATTTAAGAAAGGAAGTCCCTGCTGAACCATATTGGAAGACAACCATGTAAACTCGTTCAACAGTATATGGGAGAGCCACCCCCTTTAAAAGATCCTCATTAACACGGAATAACACTGGAAAAATTTTACATAACTAACCATTTACCTGTGAGACAAAATGATCCAACGCTATACTTTGACCAAGCATGCTGCTAATTATGCGAATACTATCTAGGTCCAGATTTTTCAGAATAATGTGATCTGGACCCCC